TTGACCGTTTTTCGTCGTATATAGACTGAATGGAATTTTTTTTTCAGTTTGAGCTCTCGATGCGCGTAGTAATAGCGGTGACAGCACAATAGTAATAGTAGTAGTAGTAATATTATGGGAGCACACGGTGGACGTCGATGGAATCTGCGGTTGAACTGTCCCTTTTACTTTTATTTTTCATATGTCAAGTGGGCATAAATTGAGCGACATTTCAAGAAAAGCCTTGAGATATTTACTTGGAGTCGCCGATTAGCCACTTTCGCATCCTCGCACCCCCCGCAGCCGTGCTTTGCAATGTACTGCGAACCTCCGTTTAACATCCTAGAAGGCTTATTCCGACGCACATGCTAATAGGATTTTAAAAATCGAGGGTTCTGTAAACACGAAAGTGACTCTGCCAACGTCTCAGCTCTTGTTAATTCCAATTGTCGCCTTTTTAACGCGTCATGGCTCAGGCTTTGACGATGCATTCACACTGATTGGACATTACAGCACTGCACTGTATAAATTATTCCTTCAAAGCCTCTTCCGGTACGGAGCACTTAAATGGCATCCTAGGTAGTGTATGATTCACCATGTCAAACACTGATTTACAGCTGCTTTTCCTGTTTCCAGGCATTTTTCGCGTACATTTATCTGCTAAGTAAAATAAATCTCTCTAATGCTGTCGAACTCGTCGCGCAAACTTGAATCCCTTTTTAAAGTACATTTATGTTGCAATTGTAGGAAACTCTACCCGATTCCGGACCGATTGTTGTGCACTGCAGCGCCGGCATAGGCAGAACGGGCACCTTCATTGTGATCGACATGCTCATCAACTACATCAAACGCGTAGGCCTGCAGTGCGACATTGATATCTCCCGCACCGTCCAGGCTGTGCGCGAACAGCGCTCAGGAATGGTGCAGACTGAGACTCAGTACCGCTTCATCTATAAGGCCGTACAGAGCTACGTGTCCACCTTGTCACAGCTGTTGCAGTTGCGGAATGTGAGTTGACCAAAAGAGAATTCGTCTGGGTCGTTTCGTCTGTTGTGGGGTTTATCTATGTTTTATACCTTTGTATATGATCTCTCCACGCCTTCCCTCCCCTGAGATACACTACTCTTCGTATCTGCATACTTACTCGGGCGTCATCGCTCTTGCCGATAGAAGCGAAAATGTGAGTTCCAGGAAACATTTCAGAAGAAGAAGATGCGATCACTGGAACAAGAATTTTATTTTCTTGACGTTTCGAATTCCGTCGAGAATCCTTTATCATAGGTAAACGTAGAATAGTGGGAGACATGCGCAGATTGTGGTGACACACAGATTGCACGGTATTTATAGTTCGTAGGGGTCCTCCGCATGAGAACTTTAGTTATCAGCTGCTGAAACCACCGCTTGGCTTGACACTTTGCTTTTCGACCCATCAGTTGCAGCGATTTCGTTTTTTCGTGTCGGATGCGGGCTTGATAATTGCGCGAAAATTATGCTCGCTGTCGTCAGAGTTGTTACTGGCCCCGGTCCCTCTCACGTGACTGATTATCTTACTCAGGCAATGTCTCAGTACACAGTATGGGAACGGCAAATCGTTGCGCTTGTTGATGGACTGTGGGCCTGAAAACCATTACTTGAGCAGCTCGCGGCTCCCGCTGTTGTCACCTCTTGCGAATGACCCCTGCGAACTATAAATACCGTGCAATCTGTGTATTTGTCACCTCAATCTGCGCATGTCTCACACTATCCTACGGTTACCTATGCTAAAGGATTCTTGACAGAATCCGAAACGTCAGGAAAATAAATTCTTGTTCTAATGATCGCATCTTCTTCTGTCCTCGTTCTTCCTAACTCGGACTCCGACTTTTGCAGCATTTGGTCTTGTGTGATTTGTTGTCCGTTTTCTGGAGCGCAACCGCGCAAACCCCTTAATGCCAAAATTTGCATTCAGAAAATTCCCCAGCAGTTTGTATTGAGAACAGTAGAGTTCAGTTCTGCCCTATGGCTTATGTTCGAGATGTGACTTTCGTTGCATCTACCCCACTCCTCCTCCGCACACAATCTGCTGTCTTCCAATGACCAGAAAAAGTCACGGCAACTGGAAGGCAGGCGCAGTGGCCGACCGAGCCCAACAGACCGTTTACGCGCGCTACACACGATCTACTCCCGACTTACATTATCGGACTACATTTTTAGAGTCTGACCTCTCATGTACGTGAAATCTTATTAGTACCATGATAAAAGGGACCTTTGCGAACTAGCCTCCAGCCCTCTGCGCAACAGAGCCCCTCTTTTAGTGGGAAAACTCCTAAGCATCGACTCTTGGCGTATCGTGGTAGCCTCAAAACGTGTTTGCTTACTTTTGGTGAAGAGGAAACGTAACGTCTACCACGACCTACATCCACTATACACCCTCCAAGGCATAATCGGCCTGTGGGAACGAGCCATCGTCGGAGTGACGCCTGCCACACGCATTTGCGGCACTAATTAATTATAAATGTCTACGTCCCATGGGTCTCCCACCCGTGAGTTGAGTGCGTACACCAACCTTTTGTGGGCACACGCATGCATGTGCCTTTTAGTCCTTTCATTTTAACCCCCTATCAAATGACCAACTTTTAAAAAATGGAGCATTTGGTATGAGAAAGTTTCAAATGCTTCCTATTTATCTGAGTTTTTTTCTGAAATTATCTTGCGAGAAACTGGCGTGATTTCTAAACTTCCACATTTTTGGAGACTTCCTTCACCACGAGAAGGATGGTTCTGATTATTTCCTTGACAGAGACAGTGATTTTCCTAAGGTTAACTGGCATGGCGTCGGTCAGTAACTGAAACATTGTAATGCAATCGCTTTCTGTGTATTAAGAGCATTTTTATTTTGGAAACTTCCTATACTTTCTAGTGACCTGTAAACCCGCTTAGCCCCGGAGTGTTCTTAAAACATCTGTGACTACTTCATGTTTTCCTTTGTCCTCACTTGAATATCCGAAATGATGGTTTTTAGTAGGTGGTTTTTAAACATTTCAAGTTAAGACAGATCGTTAATGGTTGTAGTTGTCTAAAGATTTCCTGTGTAGCGGTCAAGGATGAAAAATCTACTGTTACCACAAACACTGAATTTTTTCCGTCTAATTGAAGAAGGTAATCAGTAATGGGGAGCGATTTATTGTGTGCACAAGGCAAGTTGCGGTAGATTGACTGTTTACTGTTGTGTGAACAATGCGATCGTCTGGGAGCGTGTGAGCGGCAAAGTGTTGTAAACGAGTCTATTTCGTATATTATCCGTTTTTAGAGTAGCGATAATAGACGGATAATAGACGAAAACACAGCTGCCAATCTTAGGCCTATAGGTTCACACTTTCCTAGGCAATTGCAAAAGCCAGGAGTACAACTACGGCCAATTTTATTAGTGAGGGAATCAGCGCAGCATAAGCTTGCCGAGTGGCTAGTCCAACAAATTGAACCAATCAAACGCAACCTTGCTGCTCACATGACTAAAGATACTTTTTCGTTATTAGAAGAGCTGAAAAATGAAAATTTACATAATAAACATATGATCTCACTTGAAGTGCAAAGCCTGTTCACAAACGTGCCACTGGATGAAACCATTGACATAATTTGTGAGCATGCGGCTGAAAAATGCCTGGAACCAGGCCATCTACGGGAACTACTACAAATATGCACGAAAGACGTACAGTTCCTTTTCAACGGACAATTGTATCGTCAGATCGTAGCTATGGGCAGTCCATTAGGATCGGTCCCAGCAGATATTTTCATGTCTAATCTTGAACGAAAATTAGCCAAACGCATAAAAAACTGCTTTTTTAGACGATACGTGGATGATACTTTTACCGTAGTCGAAAACCCTAAGGAGGGAGAACTGCTACTTAAAGCTATGAATGAGGCGCATGCAAAGATCAAGTTTACGATCTAGCATGAGAAGGAAGACACACAGGCTTTCTTAGACGTGCTG